GTGTCATCTCCGTGCTGCCCACAATAAACGGAGGACCCTGAAGAGTTGTAACACTGCGTCCTCTCCATGCTGTAACACTGCATCATTCGTCCTATCTCTCACTCCTTCCCTTGGGAAACCTGTTCAACTGTCCCCTGGGTCGGGACAGTGCAGCAGTAATGTACTACTCAAACAGATTCCACTTGCTGACTGTGGTTCAAACCTCTGGCCTGGTCAGTCTGAAACATGCCTGGCATGCATAAGTGTCCAGGATCCAATAGGCTGGAGGGCTGGAGGAAAGGGATGGTGGTGTGACTAGACCCTGTGGAGGGACTGCAATGTGGCCATTCTCCCGGTGGTTCATTTCTCACTTTCTGTCTCTCTAGCAAGCACACACACCCTATAGCAAAAAATCTCTAAAAAATAGAAAAATAAATTTTCTCTGTGCCAACTCTTATAGTCATCCTGGGCAGTTTTATGAAAACCCATGAAATATGTTAGTTATTGACCTTATCAATTCTAAGTTACATTCCTATTTTCAATTCTTTACATTCACCATTTTGCAAAAATCGGTTCTTCTTGATGGCAGCTTCAGGACCTTCATAAGGACTGGGAGAGGATAGCATTCCTGAGTGTACTGATTGGTGGTACTGCAGGTGGCTGATGTTAACTTCAAGACCCACTGAAACTGGCGCCATGATGCAGCAGAAGGGCTGGACTGCCTAACGATACTTGGAGGAAGGCTCAAGATTTGACCTTGCATGGGAACCAGCAGTTAGTGTAATCGCTATGTCGCTGGACTCCTGGACTCCTACGTAGTTGACCGCGGTTCATGTCCCGGACCCAGTGGCTTAAAACTCATGCTGGGCGCGTGTGCGTGCATGCCCAAGATCCCGAGAGGAGAAGGGGGAAGGGACTGCGGCGTGACCATCCCCCCTGGGGGGTGATTTCTCGCTTTCTGTATCTATGTCTCTGTCTGGCGAGTGCACGTGCCCTATAGTGAAAACCTCTCCGAAAAAAAAAAAAAAGATTTGACCTTGCACCAAGCTTCCAAGAAACCTGGGTCTTGAGCTAAAAGCACCTTTCCTATTAGCTGCCTCTGGTGACATCTGACATTTGGACAACCTCTACACCCTTGAAACACACTGTTTTCTCTGATTCTGTGATAATTATCTCCCAGTTATGTTCCTCCTAACTAGTTGTTTTTTGAAAAAGAACAACCTTCAATGTTGGAATTCCCCAGAGCATTCTTTTAGCTTTTTTACTCTTCTCTGAGGAGCTTATCTAAATCTGTGGCTTTATCTACCACTAAAATGTTGATGTTTTAGAATTTGTGACCTACATATCAGTGGAGTTTCAAAAAGTAATTTTCTTTAAAAGTAACACACATATACAGTAATACAAACTCAAATTGTAAAGATGGATCTAAAATGAAAAGTGTCTCATCCCTCCCAGACTTGCTCTTCATAGCTATTTATTTATTTAAAAATTGCCACAGGGTGCATATGCTCACTAGAGAGACAAGGATAGGGAGAGGGAGAAAGCAGTTCTCAATGGGGCACGGTCATGCTGCAATCCCTTCTTCTCCATTTTCCCATCCCACTGGAACAAGTGCCTGGCGTGTTTTTCAAGCTGCCAGAGCTGGGGCTTGAAATGCAGTTGGCCACAGGGGATTCAGCTTTCCTTAACCACTAGGCTACAGTGACAGCCTGCTGTAAGGAGTGGCCTGAATAGGAACAAACACAATGGTGACCTTTAAACACATGCAGAAACACGGTTCTATGGGCTGTTGTTTGCAAGGCCAAATGAACATCATTAACGAATATTCTAGCTGTATGTCTCAAAACTGCAAAGCAGTATTGGTTAAAGGAAGCCATGTGTGTTCATCAGAAAAGGCCCGAGAAGATAAGAGAAAACTTACATAGGACTACATGGCACCAGAGGTGACTTCACATCTTCAGGCGATTAATATCTGAAAACAACTGGCTTTTGCATTCCACTTCTTCTTCCCCACCTTTCTTCCCTTTAAAAGAATAAACCTGGAAAGGGTTTGGGAATGAGGCTGCCTCCATCAGGAGTCAGGACCACCTGATCCCTGCTTTTCTCTACTTGTGTGTCTTTGTGTGCTTATTTTTATGTTTATTCTCTTACCCAGAGCCACCCACCCCTGGTTGTGCAGGTGATGGCAGCCTGTAATTTTTTTAAAAAAATTCTTTTATTTAATTTCATTTATTCATTCATATATTTTAATTTGACGAGAGAGTGAGAAAGTGGAAAAGCAAGTCACCAGTTCTGGGACTTGAACTGTGGTCGGCCATGTGGGAATATTCAGCACCTTAACCATCACGCCACCTGCTGGTCCCCCAAGTCTGTAATGTTTTAATGTGTGTGGAAATGTGCCATGTTTATATTTCGGTACTTCCTCCCCCCATTTATTTTTCTTCTAAATTTCAATTTTAAATGTTTTATTTTATTTTTAGGTTTTTGCTATAGGATGCCTGTGGTCCCCAGAGAGAAAGAGAGAGGGAAAGTGAAAAATCATCCCTGGAGTGTAGGGAGGGAAGAGGGGGGAGAAGGTTGGCTATGCTGCATGCAATCCCTTCTCCTCCACTCTCCTCTCAGGATTTTGGGCAAAGCATGCACACATGCCTGGTGTAAATTTCAAGCTGCCTGATGCAGGACTTGTGGTAAGCCATGTGGGAATGCAGCACCTTAACCACTACACCACCTGCTGGCCCCAATGGCTTACTTAAAAAAAAAAAAAGAAAGAAAAAGTTTACTTATTTCTAACATGAGTGAAACAGACAGAGAGGGAGACAGGTAGACAGACACCTACAACAGCACTCGGATCCTATCCATGATCCGCCTCCAGTCAGCCCTGGATCACGGGCAATCACATGCTGGCACATTTAGAGAAGTCTCCTGGAATTGAACTAGGAACCTTCCTACATGGTTCAGTCTTGCAGACTGTACCACCATCTGGCCCTCTCCCCTAAATTTTTTTTAAAAGAATTGTTTTATTTAATTTCTTTCTTTGTTATTTATTTATTTTTATTTGAACAGAGAGCGGGAGAGAGAAAAGGAAGGTGAGAAAGGAAGTCACCAGGTCTGGGTCTCCAACTGCAGCTGGCCATGCAGAAATCCAGTGCCTTAACCACCACGCCATCTGCTGGCCCTGAATTTTATGTTTTTAAATTTTATTTATTATTATTATTTAAAAATATTTTTCTAGGGTACATGCACTCAAAAGAGAGCAATAGAGAGAGAGAGGGAAAATTATAAAGCAAGTCACCATGTTCGGGATTTTACAGCCATGGGCCATTGGGAGTCCAGTGCCTTAACCACCATGCCACCTGCTGGCCCCTCTAAATTTTAGATCCTCATATTCAACTGCCATTAGGAAATCTCTACCTAGCTGTCCCATAGGCACCTAAAACTCCTTCCCCTTCTTGGAATTCTCCTTCATGCGACATGCTACGAACATCCTACCACTAGTTTTCTTTTTACGGTCAACACCATGGCAATGTTTTTTATACACTGTGCCTTCCCTGTGCAATCTGGCTTCTACCCTACCATGTCTATGAATGACTTGGCTGTTGCAAAATCCAAAGGACACATTTTAGTCCACAGCTTACTTGTTACACTTAGCAGTTTCACCAGTGTCCTTGCTACTTCTCTCCTGGTTTTCTTCTTTCCTTTTTATTTGTCACTTTTAGAGTCCTCTTTTCTGTTTCCTTCCTTCATCACATTTCCTCAAATGCAAGTATCGCTTTCTCTAGGCCAGCTTAGCCACTTTTATGTTTTCACACTCTTTAAGAGCCATCTATGCAGAGGCACATACCTCAAATCTTTCCTTCGAGTTCCCAGTCCACACAATCTGATTTTCGGTTGCCTAGTAAACATCCCACAAGCATCTAAACTCACTTTCTCTCCAAATTAAAAAAAAGAACATGGCATCATTACTCTGCAGTTTCCCAAGCCAAAACCGTTATACCACTAAATCTATTATTTTCTCCCCATCCGCAGTCCCCCTTCTACAAGGACAGACCACCATCATCCCTCGCCTGGGTAACAGCTTCCCAATTAGCCTCCGAGCTTCTGGCTTTGTAACCTCCAGCCCACCCTTCACACTGCCGGCAGTGATCATTCTAAAATGCAAGCACAACCGTTCACAGCTCTGCTGAGACCTTTCAAACCTCTTCGTTGCCTTTAAAATTAAGTCCACGCAGTAACAAAGAGCTGGTCCCTCCCTGTCTCACGAGCCTCATCGATTACCTTGTCCTTGAGCCATGCCAGGCTGCTGGGAACTCCAGAACCTACCTGCGGCCCTCCCCGTCCCCTCGCCCCAACTCCCTCACGATCCATCTCAGGCGACACTTCCTACAGGAAACGGGCGCTCAAAAGTCAAACGCTCAAAGAATTCCGAGAGGGGATCTGGGCAGCGCTCTCCGCTCCAAATCCGGATTTACGGAACGTCCGGGTTACCAGGAAGCTCAGAACAAAGGTCAAATCAGATCGTGAACCTTCACCCGAGTTCGCGAGGCAACGGGACCGCCGTGCTATTCCGCCCTTACGCGTCATGGCTGGCGGCGTTTCGGTGTTTCTTTAAGCCGACGCCCGCCCGCTCTGGCGCCGCCAACGTTTCCCTATCCGAGAACGCTGCCCTCTCCCAGTCCTTCCCACCGCCGCCGAGCCGCCGTCCAAACCTGCGTTGCCAGTTTGCCCCAAAGCAAGATGGCTGCCGATCTCTATTTTCCGCTCCCAGTGTGAAGCTCGCCCCTCCTCGCTTAATGCCGCTGCCCGGCTGCCCTCACTTAGTATGGCTGCCCCGGCTCATGCCTCGCTATGGTCTCGA